TATCAACACACAAACCTGAATTTTCCAGCAAAGTGGAAAGACAGAGCAGTATTACTCAGCAGCACAAAGTAAAATTGGATTGACCTTCAGAGCCTGTAGTTCTGTGGAAGTGCGGCATCGCTTTAAATGTAATTTCCCTCCCTGCGCACTACGAGGAATGGGACTTCAGGCGAAAAATACTTAATCTTGGTTTACGTTCATCATTCAGCATGAGTGGTAAACAAGTTCTGAAAAATTAGCAGATATTTAACGCCTCAAAATTGATGCTCATGTTATTGGTTCTACTGGCTATACCCCCAAATAAAAGCACTCAGACCATAATTTCTCACCTCGCACGACAAGCCAGCTTAAACTGTGAATATTTTGACTAATTGACTCGTATTCAGATTTATTTTCGCATTTTTCCACCTGTAGTGTCAGTTATTATTTTAAGCCCATAATATATCTTATTCTAGTTTTTGGATAGACCAATCTATTCATTCTACTTGAGTCATATTTTGACCTTGTTAATTATTGGCTTATCAGTCTTGACTGTTTTCATATGAGTGTATATGTGTGTACATTTCACATCCCATGTCTGAATTTTCTTTTGTGTGCCTATAAATATTGAGTAACGCCTGGCTAAAAATGAGTTGGCTTACCAGCCATCTCTCCTGCGCGTCATTTTGCTGTGTTCTATTACATTCACTTTACATACAAAATATATGTATCAAAGGCCATTCTCGTTAATTGACTTATCTAAATTCCATTATTGACTAACGTGGTTTAAGTCGATGATCGTATACGACGATAAGTGATAACAAATATTCGTACGATCTAGATGGAGTCAGATCCAAAGTCCACTAAACACCCTCTATTTCCGTTTCCATTGTGCTTAAATTTTTTTTTAGAAGAGATTTGGTACTGTAGAGATATCAAACACTCTATATGCGTAGTAACCTACCGTATCACATGTCAACATAATATAACTTTTTAGGCTACAATAGGATAATCGAAACTGATTGAATCGTCTCAGTCTATCTTCATAAGACAGGTTAGAGCGACCCCCAATCATTGTTGATACCTGACACTTATCCACTGATGGTTGAGATTACTGAACCCTGTTGACTAAAATGTGTAAATATGATGCCTAAAATATGGCATCAAGTGATTGACTAACTTGTATTCCAAAATGTGTACTCATGAAATTAGGTACATACTTCTTGTGTGAGAAGAATGTGTCGTCTATAATCAGTTTGGGTGAATGCACATAAAATTGCAAATCTCTCACCATTCTCGTTCGTTTCTCTAAGTCAGTCCATGTCGTTCCATGATATCTTGATACCTGTTGTCCTTTCCGATTTTGGCGTTTAAATTTCTTATCAGGATGGTCAGGTCCTTTCTTGAGCACTTCACTTTGATCGACTGAAGCCTCTCAAAAAATTGGTTTTTATCGGCTTTGTTGTTAACATCGGTGGGTGCATATGTGACGTACAAGTTTTTGCTCGTTCCCGTTACTGAAGTACGGTACATCGACCTATTTGCAATTTTTGAACCCAAGTCAACAATAGGACCAAGCCCCAATCCAGGTACCAAAGTCTATTCGCAATTTACAAATAGTCGACCCAAATGTCTTTCTAACAATAATTATAACAATTATCGAAACAAACCGGAGAAGAAACTCTCAAATATTAAACCAAAGACAAAGAGAAACCAAAATGTCCGAAAATAATGATATGAACAAACAAGTTCAGAAGTTGAGTAAAACAAATACATCTAAAAAACCAGTGAAATTGATAATATTCAATATAAAGTTTATAACTAGCCAAATGTCTTCAGTTCCCCTGTAACAACATAATATTGACTAACATTTCTTGTGATTCCCCACTTCTTTGTTTCGAAATATGCTTTAATGATCGTAAGTCCATGAGATTCCCATCCTACAAAACTTTACGTGCTTCTTTAGTCACTATCAAAGTAAATACGATGATTTGAATTATTGTAATAATCATGAATTCCCGAAATAGTGCAATTTACAGAAAGTAGAACTAGATGAGCACAGATGAACGTATTACATTTCAAATTCGTATTCACTGGGAAATCAACAAGAAAGGAATCATTAGTTCATGCAAATATCACATCCTCCACAACCTGAATGAGAATCCATATTTCAGTAATCGACTAAACCTCTTTTCCTTAGGTTCATTGCATTTCTGTCTGACTGCGCAATAGACACGGACTCAGTATGATTTAGAATTTACTCAGTAGTATTAGAATCAACAAATCGGGACGCACTCACCCGGGTCTTGGAGTTGTATATGATTAACATGTCGGTTGTGTACTGAAAACACTATCTGGAATTCGAACCATAGAATTTTCAACACTACCTTCCCACCTAAGATATAATAAAGAGTCCCTATGTCGCAGTGTTATGACCGAATTGACGTTTCCAATTCGCATTACCTTCTCATATCCAACACTTCGACTTCATATGTGAGCCACTTGTGGATAGATAGTGAAATATAATTTGAGGCACTCCATCATGTGACTGAAGATGCCACAGGTATTCGGAGTTTGAAAACAATGTAACCAGTAACACCTTCTACTATGAATCGTGCTCACCAAGAGAAATCAAAAGTCAGAAGCGAGGAGGTCAGAAAATATATTTGACAGGATATCAATATATCGAGAATCGACTGATCTAAACTGGCTAGCGATTGCAGCAGAAGTTGAGCACAGCGTTTCCACTTGTGATCTGATGCGAATGCATGGCCGAGCGCTTCCAACTAGGTTAATCCATTGAAACCAATGTGGTCAGCATCAAATGTCAAAGACTTACAGAGGTACTGATTTTGAGGATTGATTTTACCACTGCGGATTACTCCCACTAGTGAGGTAGTGATGACTCTGAGACGTGGCCAGCCAGATGTTTAATTTTTTATTTTATTTGACTACATAAATATTGGTACAACAGGGCACCAAATGTATATACGCCACACAAAACAATGAGAATTCGAAGAGAGAAAAAGAACAATAACGAACAGATTAGTGTAAGGTAGCGTAATAGTAATAATGGGAGAAACGGAAAGGTACAACCAGAAGAATTCTTTCAGTTAGGGAAGATACAACCAATTTTTATGAAGAAAGTAAAAGAAGGTTACAGCAGGATCGGCATTGGCTTCTATCCTGAGCCATATCTGATAATGTCTCTAGCCAATGTGTTGCACCATCTCTCGAACCCAAGCCAGGGAGTCGTGAAGGACCAACACAAGCCAGCCCTTTACAGCTTTTTTTTATACCCCAACACCATTTCATACACTGACCACCTCTCCACTTTTTCCAACCAGTCCCAAAGTCCGCAAATAATACACGACGTGGAATTCTTTGGGACGGCACTAGTAGAACATGTCCAAGCCACCGAAGTCGATGTTTCAAGATGGTGACACCAATTGGATTATTGTCTCTGCACCCGAACACACGATGCCAAACCTCTGCATTACTAACATGGTGTTGCCACTGGATGTCAGCAATCCTTCGGAGACAACGATGATAAAACACAGAGTCGTCTAACATCCTCAACTCGGAGGCCAGGTTTCACAAGCATAGAGCAAAACTGCTCTCACTGACGCATTGTAGATCCGACCTTTTACAGCCAGACTAACATCACGAAGGCACCAAAGATGGCCCAGATTGGCATAAGCCACTCTGGCTTTCACTATACGTGCATTTATCTAATCACTCACACCACCACCAGCACTTATGCAGCTTCTCAGGTACATGAACTTCTCGACTACTTCTATCTGCTCATCATTTAGGGTGAGTACAGGATTAGAAACCTGCCAGTCTTGTAGAAGTAGTTTGCATTTCGAAGGTGCAAAGCACATACCGTACCTACGGACACTGATTGCCAACTGATTAAGTGCGGATTGGGCATTATCGCACAGTAAGATAATATCATCCGCATACTCAAGGTCGAGAAGTCTTTCTCCAGGCAACAGATCCACGCCGCCACTACTTACATTCATCAGAGTTGTTTCCAGAATGACATTGATGGCAAAGTTGAAGAGGAATGGTGAGATTGGGCAACCCTGTCTAACCCCACTGCTCGAATGGAACAATGGAGAAAGGTGGTTTTATGCCCTCACTTTGCCTGAGGTGCTTGTGTATAGGGCTTTTAGGATGTTAATAAACTTCTCAGGCACACCCTTCTTCAATAGACAATCCCAGAGAACAGTCCTGTCCAACGAATCGAAGGCAGCCCTAATGTCGAGAAACACTACGATTGCTGGCCTTTGGTAAGTAAGACGGTGTTCTAGCATTTGGCGAAGGCTGAAGCTATGATCAATACATTATCGACCGGAACGAAAACCAGCCTGACATAGCCAGCCCTATCTGTTGTCCAACCTGCATAAGTGTGCGAACGTTGAAGGTAGACAGTTTGAATCGTGTATGTGGTTTCAGTATTCGTGTTCGGTGGAAGCATACAACTTTCGACCAAGCAGTGACTCGAGATCGTTCAGATAGAACCGAATTTTCACCATAGGCCAGCTGCTGTATAAGTCGAAAAATAAGGATACACAGAGTGGAAATAAAAGAGAGTGAATAGATGACGTGAATAATAATAATATGGACCGTTTGATTGTTAATCAAAGCAAGAGAAGTATTTTCCATAAATATTGACATTTCATCATATTTGTTTAGGCTGGGATACTGCCCAGGTGCCCAGACCGAAGCAGGTGGTTCTCTTAGGGGGGGGAATCCGAGCCCTTGGCCTAAAGGTCTGACCCACGAGGCAGCGAAGCATCATGAAAAGATGCAGTCCCATGGTAGCCGGTGACTAACAATTGGTTCATACGCCATTTGCTCCCGCAGGATACTGGAGCCCATGTGCACCATTGGTTTGGAATCCGGTTAAAGCGCCAGACATCTGCTTTTCGTCCTCTCATTTTCGCAAACAAAACCCCCGCCACAAGAAGGCAGTGAGTAGGACTTCCCTGGCAGAGGCTGTATACGCGTGGCCGTGTGAGAGCATTTCGAGAGGGAGGGCGGGTCCATCCCACTCTCGACCATACCAGGGCATTTGGGGCCTATCGAATCCTATGTACAGATGTGAAGTGCGACAGTTTGTGAGTAAAAACTCCTTTCATCAACCTGGTTGATTAAAATCAAATGTTGATAACTGACAAAACACTTGCCAATTACCTTAAAAAGAAGGATTCTTGGAAAATAAATAACTAAAGACGATACAATAACTATAAATGTATGCATCACCTTGTTGGTTCAACTGCTACTTTATGGAGAAATCATATACAAACACACAGAACCAAATTAATTGCAACCACTTAGTTCACTACTCTTTTAGTAGACCCATGACTACTAAAATAACAATAATTGAATAAGGTGTAAAATTTCATATCTACTTGTAGATATCATTTGTAATAGAGTTACCAGATTTAAGCTCTGAATAGGGCATTATTAAGACAAAAAATGACGCTTGATATTTGAGAACTGGCTTCAACGAACTACTTAATGAGAAACAAATAAGATATTATTTAAGACATCTTCTCTAAAAAATTAGATATTGTATAACAGATCTGAATTTGTTTATGAAAAAAGTCTCAATAATGAGATATTTAAGCATCGGTTTTTATCGAACTGCAATGAACAGAAGAGTTGGTATCTGGTGAGGCAATGTTCAAACATTCTTTGACAGAATTCGAGAGCGTGCCAATATCATCAGTTTTATCCTCTTTATCAGAATGAGCATCTTCAATGCTGGATCCTACAATTAAGGGATGATAAATATTCTAAGAGGATCAGGATCCAGAAAAACGAAAACATTAAATACAACAGTAATTCTCACTTACATTGAATAAAAAGACTTCTAATTATACGAGAGCATAATCATTTCACAACACGATAAGAATTTATATCACAATTTACGTATGATATATAGCGCGTAGTAGGTAGTACATATTACGTTGCAGACACTTTATCAATGACAAGCATTAATAGTTTAACTGTAACGGATATAAATTACATCGAGATCTCAAAGCTGCAGAAGACTGATACTGAACTGAACGAATTTTGAGGATCGAATAAGACAGAATTGAAGATAAAGAACATCTGCTTGTATACCATAGAATGCGACACCTAGTTTTTGAGATATCTCATGGCATATCTCCCTCAGGCGTAAAAAAACTTATCAAAGACATCCGTTTGCCCAAATATAAGTAGCGACTTACAGATATGGACGAAATCGTGCACGTAATGTCAGAAGTCGGAAGTCCAACAACACGTAGTAGTATCGCCTATAAGAGGATTTTCTGCACCAGACTGGAGTCCGAGTATATGAATATCGATATTTTCGGACACTTACCACCCAATAATTTCACTTATATACTAAACTGTATTGGCCGATTCACCAGATGGGTAAGAGCCATCCGGTTGTAAAACATTGCTCCTGAAACGGCGGAAAAGTTTGTGAAACATAAGGTTGCTAATTTCGAAGTTCCAGAAAGCATTATTACAGACTAAGGTGCACAATCTGGAAGTCGTCTGTTTTAACAACTAGCAGAGTCATTGTGTGTTCAGCGGATACGGATCACAGTTTATCAAGTAACACACTATTTTTATGTTCGTTGTTGACTCAATTTGATATTGATGAGGAACGATGAAATATAGTTCCTTAATTAACTACGTATACTTACCCGACCGTTGTTGCTACCTTGACGTGGTGGTCGGGCTTGCCTATCGTGATGAAGCAACCGAGCTATACTGGCTGGAACAACCGTTCCTCAAGGTCCTACCATGTCAGACAGGTCGGTTGAAGAGCGGTAAGACTAAAAGCAACAAACCCCAAGGTCCGAAGGCGAAGTCGTACTGCTGACTGTACAGAGGTGTGACAGCAGTAAGGTGTTTCCTTCAGACAACCAGCATGACAGCGATGCTGCCTTCCCACAAGGAGGGGTGGGGTTAGAAAAGGTCGGCCCTAAAAATGCACACCTCGCCTTATCCCACGGATATCCGTCTCCGGCGGTAAGGTCCCAATAAGTACGGAGCTAACACAAAAATTACCCATAAAAAGGTCGCGTGTGACCGACCTCAAGCAGTTGTCCCTTGGGCACTGCGGTCACGTTCTCAGGTCACTAAGACCACCTTTAATCCAAATTCCTTTTCAGGTACCTCCAGAACAACCCTTCCACGGTGTGGGCAACCGGGAAGTGAAAACCGCCCTCATACCTCTAACAGCACTCAAGACCACTGTATTCATAATCAACCTTCCTCTTCAATTCCTATTATTCCTCCTACATCGACTTTCAACTTTAAATTTCCTCTCTCGGCTTCCACCTCAAGTGTCACCATAGCCAACGATTCTAGTGCGCAAAATACTGTCCCAGGTCTACTGAAACCTCGCTCCAAACTACACATTGGAGCCTTCAACGTACGAACCCTATGTCAAATTGGTCAGCAGGCTTCTTTGGCTAAAACCCTAGAGTCTCTTACCATTGACGTGTGCTGTGTCTCCGAAACACGCATACAGGATTCCAGTGTGGTCATTCACTTGACCTCACCTCGGCAAAACGGAGAGCCAACGAGGTACACCCTTCGTGTATCTGGTGACCCGATGGCAAGTTCTCGTGGACTGGCAGGTGTAGGCATAGCACTAAGCATGAGGGCCGAACAAGCACTGCTAGAGTGGATCCCCGTCAACAGTCGTCTATGTGCTGTTCGGCTGAACGGCTACGTAAGAACTCGGAAGGATAGGGACACACGTCGTTGCCTTTTTGTCGTTTCTGCCTACGCTCCCACTGACTGCAGCTCAGATGATGTGAAAGATGAATTTTACAGAAAGCTGTCCGAACTTCTTCAGAAAGCTAAACGCTCAGACATAGTACTCGTAGCAGGTGATTTTAATGCTCAGATAGGCAGTTTAAACCAAACAGAAAGGCATTTAGGTGGATATTTTAGTATTCCGACACAGCGAACAGACAATGGTGAGCGTCTGCTGCAGCTATGTTCAGACAATCGTTTATTTTTAGCAAACACAAATTTTAAGCATAAGGAGAGACATCGTCTAACATGGCGACCCCCTACACCAAACCAACGATGGACTCAAATAGACCATATTGCCATCAGTCATCGTTGGAGAGGGTCGGTAGAAGATTGTCGCTCATTCTGGAGTACCTGCTTGGACTCCGACCATGCCCTAATACGGGCACGCATCTGCTTGCGCCTCACTGGACGCAAAAAAGCCACATTAAAAAGACCCGTTAGAACTAAATTGAGTAGTGAGAAAACCAAAAGTAGGTTCCAGGAACAACTGAGGTCACACTTAGGTAGTTGTGAAGACGAGGCTGACCCAGATGTTGCTTGGAAAGCCATACAAACAGCTGTGGAAACAGCAGTGACATCTATTAGTGACTTAAACCACAGAGTTGCAAGGAACCAGTGGATTTCTTCAAGGTCTGTCACACTGATGGATTCTCGCAAACTCGTTCCATTAGGTCCTGAACATGATGAAGAGCGAAAACAAATCAGACCTAGATTAAGAAAAAGTCTAAGAAACGACCTTGAGCAGTGGTGGGCAATGAAAGCAAAAGAGATGGAAAAGGCGGCAACTATAGGGAACACAAGACAGCTTTACAGACTAATAAAAGAAACTGGAATTAATAAGTCAAGTGTAAGTGAGATTATATCGGAAAAAGACGATACTCTCATCTGCTCCCAGTCCAGACGTTTAGAACGATGGGCGGAACATTTCAGAGAACAGTTCAACTGGCCTTCAGCTACTCTACAACTACCCTCCATCCCCAGACAGTGTGAATGGAACATTGAAATAGGTCCCCATACTCTTGCTGAAGTTCAAAAGGCTATAGTTAATCTGAAACGAGGAAGGGCAGCTGGTCCAGATGGATTGGCTCCAGAGGTCTTTAAGGATGGTGGTCCAATTTTAGCGATTAAGTTGACTAATATTTTAGCTAAGATCTGGGAATTAGACTTTATCCCATCTGACTGGTCGCAATCACTTATCGTCCCAATATATAAGAAAGGGTCGAAATCATCCTGTGACAACCACAGAGGGATTAGTTTAACAAACATAGTATCTAAAATACTGGCCTCGATAATTATCAAACGCCTAACTAAGACTCGTGAACTACAAACTCGAGAGAACCAAGCTGGCTTTAGACCTGGTCGTGGCTGCATCGACCACATATTCACCATTCGTCAGGTTCTAGAACACAGGCATACCTATCGGCGTCCGACGATAGTGGTCTTTCTTGACTTAAAAGCAGCATTTGACTCGGTAGACCGCGAGACTCTGTGGCAGTGTCTGTCATTGAAAGGCGTACCTCAGAAGTACATAAACCTTGTGAAGGCTCTTTACTCGAACACTACTAGTCGAGTCAGGGCTTATGGCGAACTGTCATCTACTTTTGCAACCTCAAGTGGTGTCCGTCAAGGCTGTCCACTTTCTCCATTTTTGTTTAACTTCATCATAGACCTATTGATGGAAATAACACTCTCGTCGACTGAATTCTCGGGTATTGATCTCCTTCCAGGAGGTCCACTTATCGACTTAGAATACGCGGATGACATAGTCCTGTTTGGTGAAGACGCTGACAAAATGCAGAGTCTTCTGGTAGCACTAAGCAACAATGCCAGAATGTTTGGGATGCGCTTCTCTCCCTCTAAATGCAAGTTGTTGCTTCAGGACTGGTCTGCGTCAACACCTGAACTAAGGATAGGGAGTGAAGTAGTCGAACGCGTTGATAACTTCACTTATCTTGGAAGTCTGATCAGCCCTAATGGGTTGGTATCGGACGAAATCTCAGCACGGATTCGAAAAGCTCGTTTGGCTTTTGCCAACTTGCGTCACCTTTGGCGAAGGCGAGATATCCGTCTATCAATAAAAGGACGAGTATACTGCGCGGCAGTTCGTTCTGTTTTAATTTACGGCAGCGAAACATGGCCCTTAAGAGTAGAAGACACCCGTAAGCTATTAGTATTTGACCACAGATGCCTTAGAAATATTGCTGGCATCTGCTGGGATCACCGGGTAAGTAATAGCGAGGTTAGACGCAGGGTATTAGGGAATGATGGTAAATCAGTTGATGAGGTTATGAATCTTCATCGACTGAGATGGTTGGGCCACGTATTACGTATGCCTGAACACCGATTACCACGACGTGCAATGCTAACCGGGGTAGGGGATGGTTGGAAGAAAGTTAGGGGCGGCCAAACCAAAACGTGGCATCAGTCCCTGAAGTCACTAACTTCTAGTCTGAGCCATGTTGGTAGATGCAGACTACTTGGTTGGGGTCCGCGTGACTTTCGTAACCAATGGTTGGAGACTCTTGGGGACATGGCTCGGAATCGATCACAATGGCGTCGGTGTATACACTCCCTGTCTTCCCTTAAACTAAGAGACTAAAATCACTTCATTCTTTCTGTCTACGAACTAATTCTTTCTTCCTATACTATATCCTTATTGCAACCTTTGACCTAACCACTCCTATGAATCCGGTGTTCATCTTGCTGTGCTAATGAGGTATGGCAACCTGGACCGATGCACATATGTGCCTGGTCCTACGTTGTAGCTGACTGACTGACTGACGTATACTTACATAAACTTCGTGTTAGTGAATCACAGAATGAAAAAATACGACAGTGGTTTTGAATACATATGTTTCATACACCCATTGATACAGATAGACAAGAGACGAGAAGCAGGCAAGACAAACTTGATCATTTTGTTTACTCAAACGTGACTCAACATTTATATGGATTAAAGGTACATCTAAGTATATGAACACAGATACCGACATATACACATGTTCAAGATCATATATATAAATGGTCAAACGACTAGAGGGACTAATATAAATCGTCTGTTCAAAGGTTAGAACAAACTATGCAGGCGTGTGACAATGAAACTCACTACAAGCTGAACGACTTCATATGGTGATATCGGTGTAGAACTATTGTTTTATTAGTGACTGACTGATCTTTACATTCCCAATTAACATAGATGTACTTGAATTATAGATTTTCGGACATCCAAGTGATACTATGAATAAACCAATGATTAACATTCAGATAGATATTTTTCTTTGTACTACTGAATTAGTAATAGTGCTTACTAGAAATTGATATAAGTTGGAAGACAACTTCCTGAAATATGCTCCACATAGTTTCGGTTGTTCTCAGAGAGTAGAATCTGGATATCTCCAAACCTAGTGTTGGTTACTGTTTTCCAACTTAATACAGCTTTTGATTAAAGAACTTAATAGTAAAAAATGTGGCGAGAGCAGGTAATATAACTGAAATTAAAACAATTCTGGCTGTTTTCCAATACTTCCACAGACTTTACTACATTTTTAAGGTACATTTAAGTGCTTTAAGCGTAATTTAATTAAGAATTTATTGAGCGTTAACGGCTGTTTAGGTTAGCAGCTATGGTACCGCAGTGCAGGTTGTTCTAGACCGACTTTGATGAATAGCCCTTTAATGATTGCCTAAGTCCTTAACTAGTTCTTCCCTAAACATATTAACATTTTAGCCATCGACAAAAGCTTTAACAGATTTTCCAGACTCAGACAAATATGTAATTTCAAAGGGGCGACAGCATTCCATTGATGCTCTGCAGCTAGGACTAATATCGATAAGGTTGGTCTCACCGTAGTAGTTATATCGGGAGTCAACAAACCAAATAGGGATTTTTCAGGCTTGACGTTTAGGTTCGCTAAAAACAAATTTGTCCGCTATGATTACCACATCACGGTTTTCGATAAAATATATTATGGACTTCATCCAGGTTGTTGTTAATAGGAGAGTATCTAGAGACAATGAAGAAGCAATAGCTTTCCCTAAAACTCAATGTCCCATATAGCAGACAGCTCACAAATGATTGATATGAAGTACAGAAGTGTTTGATCTGATCAGGCAAAAATAGTAGGATAAAAAACAATAGCAAACGACGCTCGGTGAATAAAAAGTGGCCAGTTATAGTGTTAAATGTCAGTTAGTAATCTCCTTATCAGGATGCATGCAAGCAACACTGAAAACTTGCAATTAAAGACCTACGTCACGAATATCTCTGCCAGCCATCAGAAAACACTAGACATAACATCAACAACAACAAAATTTGTATGTAACTGAAATAATACACGCTTTCTTCTTGGAAACACATATTTGTAATTAAGTAAGGACTTTATGTAATGACTTACTATTCTCAGTTAGTTTATCATCACTTGCTTGACAACCTTCCTCAAAAACTTTCCGAAAATCTTCTGCATCTTAAAAAAACGAAACAAAAATTAAGATCACACCAAACCGAATAATGACCATGTATTTAACAAACTTCAAGAGAAGCAACATCTTATAAAAGCATTTACTTAAATCATTATTACCTACGAATAACAAGCTAAACATTTCTAGATTATCCCGTCCAATTAAAAACATTCGGAAAGTAATTAGTTGAAGCTTAAAGCAGTAGTATAAATGACAAAAACAGCTACCACTTGATAAAAGATGGATCAATCCAAATACCTATAAACAAACACGATGACAGAAAACGCGAAAGCATAGTCAAAATATCAGCGATTCGCGGTGATCAACACGAAGTGATAAATGAAATACACACAAACACTGGACCTAGCACACCGACATTACAGAATAGATTACTTTAGTATCCTGATTAAGTTACCGTAGTGGACTTATTAGATATAATGAGTTGGTTGACAAAGGCTTCACGGGCACGAACAACTTGACTAACTATCAGGTTATATCTGTGATGTTCAGAGATGTCCACTTCCCTAAAGAATTCCAGGTATACAGTCAAGAGTCAAATTCGTAATGTCAGCTGACCGTTCAGCCAGTCATGTGCACCGGTTTAAGCTGCCACACTACATTAACTAACGATTACTGAAGGTCGATGATACTACAATATCACAAGTTTTGGAAGATGAGTCCAGCCTAGAACATATTGTTTTACCTTCATATCTATCGTTTTATCATAGGATTCAGTCATATACTTGTCTCCTTGCTTACAAGTTTTATACCAGTAGCTAATGTTTAAAAAGTGATAGCATGTGGAGAAAACAAACACTTGTGGTTTGTATGAGGTAAATTTCCTTAAAGAGCATTGAGACAACGCGGCGAGTAAATCCTGAATGGCCGATGAATGCACGGTCAAACTGTGTTTAAGACCAGGTTAATAAGTGGAACGGTAGCTTTGTGGCTAGAAAGCTTGACATTTTACCAGTAGGTACCGGTTTCGAAGCCTGGAACACCTACTTTGGTTTAGGTAACCAGATAGTATCAACGACCTTAAGTGTGGCCTAGCGCAGGCAACCTTAACCTATAAATGAGCTACAAAACTAAGCCAATAGAAATAATTTTATGGAATACCCTTCTACATAACCTTTCGGTGACCCTTTCGTTTATCTCCGATTTGGATGTACGTATGGGTATGCTATGAACATAAATATTCAACCTAACTCCGTATATTACTTGAGTTAACGCCGTTTGTGACGGCGGCAATAAGAGGCCAAATACGGGTTGCGTTGGATGAATTTATCTCAAGCACTCGTTTATCCAGACACATTCGGAAAGAAGGCAGGAAAACGAAGCAGAGTTGGCTCATTCGCCTTCGCCAAAATCACAGCCGTTCTGGAATCTATCGCCACTATGGTGAAACTATACGAAATATTACTGATACCGTTTCCCGATACTCAAAATGAAGTTGAAGAGTTTCTTTGAATACATTTCGTTACAAGTTTTGAATGAAACCTCAACAGATAGTACGTCTTAAATGATCACATTTCCATCTATCTGAACTATCTAGTTATTTATATTACGAGTGAAGTTCCAGGGAAAGAAGGAACGTCAATATTACAAGACCAGTAGCCGGATTGGATGGCCCGGACATTTTGTACCAAGAAGTGAGTGGAGTATGTGAGGGGAAATCTATCATAAGGCTATGACACAACACAAGTGCGTAGTCACTGACCTGGTCTAGACGAAGAAAGCTCCTTGCCTAGAACTCTATATGGCAAACAGGGATCGGAAAGAATCAGAACCGATTGTGGTGGAGGGTATGTACTAATTGCTTATTACTCCGAATCTACCTCATACAGACAGGTAATGTTTTTGTTTATTGGTACTCTTTTCGTACGTCATTGAGTAATACGGTAGGAACATACGGGTCTCGCTTCGTTTATGTTACATATTGAAGGGTTATTTCCTTCGGAACCTGCAGACCGAATTGAAATAGGGGTGTGATACTTCCATTTGTCGACTACTCTTATCTAGACGGCAAACAGCTATTCTATAAGTTTCTTATTTCTATGATTCTCATTTGTATCAGTGGTTTTAAAAAAATGGGATCATAAATTGTACCATGATGATATTTCTCTGGTGTCTTGAGAGGCTAAAATTTCGAGGTTTTACAGTCAGGGTAATCTAAATTTACTGCCATGGATAAAAAAAGATAATGACCTACATAGATCAATCTGTCGTTTAAATTAAAGGACCAAGGTTTGAATGAACGCTTTGTCTGGTATGCATCAAAGCAACATGACCTAAAGACTTGGAAAGTCTGACATCTTGGTGGTTTGAGCTTAAGATACTAGACAAACTCTCACGAGTGCAAGGAATCAAACATCCAGATATTTAATGGAATTTAAGTGCCATTGAACTGCAGTAGTGAACGTAATGAAATATTTCGGGAAACGATAGAAAGTCTCTGAAATAATATTGAATACGTACATGTAGAGTTAGCAAATCTAACACCCAATAACTCTGGTTTTACCACCTCGTCTGCGAAATCAGCTGTCGTACTCCAGACAAAAGCTCTACTGCTGCTGCAGTTTGGACGTAAGTACATATTTTTGAGGAGATAATGGTTGGCACAAACCTAAATTGCTGTAAAGTAACGTGTATAAGAACCTTGTACGTGCGATCTCGACGCATCAATAAGCGATAGCATCCACTGGTAGTGTTACGTAGAATTTTCAGCACTCCAACCCCACGCTCCTTCCATTCTGGGGGATCGTCAATAGTGTCGAAACGAAACAGTTGTGCTCTCCTGAAAGATCAAGTGACTTGATTTTAATTAAAAGGTACTGTTTGAATAGGCACTCTTCATTCTCCTCGGAACTACAGACTGTTAAAGGGGGAAGAGTAATAACAGGCTCAAAATATAGGTCAGGGTCTTCGTGCTAAGCAATTTAACGAGAGAAATTATTCGTACTTCCGAAACGCTATGCATTATCGCCACTATTAATTGAAAAGGCCAGCTAGTAGTTTGTTTGCGTTTATGTAATTTACGTTTGCACAGACGAGGTACAATGACAGCGGACCAGACACCACGATATTCTAAAAGGAAAAATATGTAGTGTTAATTCAAAAGCCAAACACTGTTATCACATTTACTAACGACAACAACCAACAGGAATTACTGATGAGTGTGTAAACTAAAAATCAACTTGTAATGTGTAAAGATATCGAAGCAACACAACGGCTAACCAATGACCACTCAAGGTTGTTGTGCATTCAGCATCCAATAGATTCAGATTCAGATTCAGAATTGTGTAGTAAGGACAGAAGGCCTATGGCCTATGTTATTCCTTTTCTAGTATGCTTCTGTGAGTGTCCAGTCTTCTCTTGAAAGAGTCAATTGAAGGTGTGGACAGCACTGCTTCAGGCAGCAGGTTCCAAGTATTGATGACTCGTTGTGAAAACCTGTATGCCACGGGTATTTTGTTCGTTCTTGGCTTTTCTACTCGCCTGCTATGTCCTCTGAGGTGTCTCGATCTAGTGGGAAGAAAGAGAGAGAATATATTATGTCCGAAACCATTTCTCAGTATTCTGTACATCAATATTAGATCTCCCCTTAATCTGCGATAGGACAGAGTAAAGAGGTTCAGTTTTTCAAGTCGCTCTTTATATGATAAACTCCGGAGTTCCGGAATTGCACGCGTAGCTGCCCTCTTTACCTTTTCTAGTATGTCTGAGTCACCTTTTAAACAGGGGCTTGCTGCCTGAACACAGTTCTCTAACTTAGTTCTCACTAAGGATGTGTATAATGTGGTGAACATGGTAGTATCAAAGTTAGTGAATGTCCTTTTTAAAGCCCAGAGGGTCCGAAACCCCTTAACTGCGACCTCCCGGCAATGGGCCGTCTTCTTAAGATCATTGCTCACCGTCACCTCTAGGTCCTTATGAGACCGGACTACGGGTAATGACACATCCCCTATGTTGTACGTATTAACCTTTGAATCCCCCAAGTGCATGTAGACACACTTTTCCGAGTTGATAGGCATCAGCCACTCTTTAGACCAGTTTATCATATTATTTAAGTCCGCCTGAAGAGTAAATGCGTCTTTGTCTCCAGTTATTACTCGCCAAATTTTTATATCGTCAGCGTAAAATAGCATTGGAGACTGTACTATACTTGTAAGATCATTAACGTACATTATAAAAAATAAAGGACCTAGGACGGAACCTTGGGGTACTCCACTAAGTACTGGTCTCCAGATGGAGCACTTGGAATTTATTCTTACTTTTTGCCTACGACCTACTAGGACATCCTTAATCCATTTTAAAAGAGGTCCGGCAATACCAAGGTTTGCCAACTTCAATAGCAGTCTATTAGTTGGCACCTTGTCAAAAGCCTTACTGAAGTCTATGTAGACAACATCCACTGAGTTTCCGTTGTCTAGCGCAATAATCCAGAGCTCCTTAGCTATAAGGAAGTTCGTTGTACAGGATAGACCCTTTCTAAAACCATGTTGTGCCATATTCAGCAAGGTATTGGTTTCCATAAATGACGTTATGCTCCGTTTGATTATTCTTTCCAGTATTTTAATTACAACACTGGTGAGGCTTACGGGTCTGTAATTCGATAGAACTTGTCGTAGACCTGTTTTATGTATGAGAGTGACGATTGCGTCCTTCCAGCCCATAGGTAACACACCTTGGTCAAGTGACATTTTGAATATCACAGTCAGTGGGGCTGCGATATATTGGGCTATATGTCTCAAGATTTTAGGGTGTAGTTCATCTGGTCCTGTTGACTTCTCCATGTTTAGAGTGCTAAGAGCCTTAAGCACATCGTTTTGGTCGAAGTCCACGGTGAGCAGCTGGTTTTTTGACTCTGTAATTGGGTCTGGTTCTTTCTCTAGAGGAGGTTCCTGAGTGAAAACTGCCCCCAAATATTCAGCCATAATCTCAGCTTTTTCCTGATCTTCCTCTATCATTTCAGATTCACTTCCTACTTTAATTAGGTTGGGAATCCAGTGATGAGTCCTTGTTCTGTAGTTTATGTACGAGAATATCCTCTTGGGCTGTTTGAGTGCAGATTCTGCCAGCTGCATTTCATATTTTCTTTGCGCTTCCCGAATTTTAGTTATACACTCGTTTCTTATCGATCTGTAGCGTTCCATCGTACCTGCTGTGCCAAGGCGGATGGCAACATCCCAGCATTTCTTCTTTTGTCTTAGTGAGCGTCGAATATCCCGTCCTATCCAGGGATGTCCGTGCTTCTTTTTCTTTGGGACAGTCCAGGGTATGTATGGTTGAGTTACCCGATTGTATAACTGCCTGAATAGAGTCCATGCCTCTTGTACTGATGCCTTTGAATCAATTTCCCAGTTTCTCAGCCGATGCTGCGGGGTTAATTGCCTGCATATCTGCCTTCCATATGTTAGGACGGGCCGGCGCAATTGTTTGACAAGCAATCTCAGCCATGAATTTGAATAAGATGACTGCATGGTCACTTCTCCCAAGTGGTGGGAGAAAAGCCTTTTGACCAACGTCATCACCGTGTGTGAAAACTTAATCTAAAAGAGAGGAAGAGTCTCTTAAGTCGTATCTTGTGGGATCTCTAATGTGTTGGAATAATGCTAATCCAATCGAGGTTTCTAACAGTTTGGAGTCGAACGACGATATGGATGATCCTACTTCTAAGTTAACCCAGTTGATATATGGTGCATTAAAGTCGCCTACTACAAGGCTTTTACCGTTGTTACACCAGGACTTAAGTTTACTTAGGATAAAATCATCTACTACACATTCTGGACTGCGATAAACTACAACTACTTCAATATCTTGCCTTCGGCATTTCAACTTACATCTCACCAGTTCACATATCCCTGAAACATGTGCAACTGGCTAACGCAATATATCGACCTCATTTTGTTCCAAGTAATAGTCTTAGATATTTACCAGATACTGTCTGCTAAGTTGAAGCCTTCAACTGCCATAGTTCTGTTACACCTATGGATTGCCTGTTGATCAAAGCATTTTCAGGGAACATACGATGAATGAAAGTGAGACTGTTCAGACTATATCTAGTTGCATCACATGAATGTCACTTACGGGTTGATGTTTGGAATAATTCCAATATTAAAAATGAAAAGAATACGTATATTCTGCCTTTTCGCCTCCTGTAGGGTAAATGGAGCCTCAATCACGTGCTGAGGTAGTGAATTCCACTCGTTGATGATTCGATGGGAAAGTCGATAGTCAGCTGACAAGTAATTTGTTCTCGGCTTATGAACTTTCTTGGAGTGTCCTCGTTAATTCTCTGTTTTGGAAGACAAGAAAAATGAGGGCATATCAGGTGCAAATTTATCACTAAGCAATTTGTAGACTGTAATCAAGTCGCCTCTAGTTCTGCTTGGCCAGTCGAGATTCATACGGAATCAGCTTAGTCGCCGTTCTCTGAACTTTTTCCAGAAGCTCATTGTCTTTTTTAAGCAGGGGCTAGCCGCTTATATGCAGTACTCAAGTTTAGGACGTACGAACACTGCATTCAAAGTCAAAAACGTTTTAGCGTCGACATGACTAAAAGCTCTACGTATTGACCATAAGGTTCTAAAACCTTTGGCGGCTATTGCACGGCATTGTGCAGTAGTCTTTAAGTCTTGACTAACGATAACTCCTAAGTCATTATATGTCTGGATGACAGGTAGCTCAGTGTTATTCATCGTGTATGCATCTGTGCCTTGATGACCGACATACATCACAACACGCTTGGAAGTATGTATCGGCAATTGCCATGTTTGAGACCATTCAGATAACTTCTTCAGGTCATTCTGAAGTTCTAAGCTATCACTCTTACATCGTATCGTTCTCCATATCTTGACATCGTCAGCATATAGCAGGACCGATGATGATAGGAGACAAGGAAGGTCATTTACATACAAGAGGAATAGCACTGGCCCCAAAACTGTACCCTGGGGCACTTCACTAAGCACAGTTTCTCAGCTAGATAACTTTGAGTTCACCCCTTCTCTTTGTTGACGCCCAACTAAGAAGTCTTTTATCCAATCCCGACTTTTCTTAACTTATATGACAGCCGGTTGTGTGGAACTTTGTCAAAAGCTTTGCTGAAATCAATGAAGGCGACGTCTACAAGTAGCTTTTGGTCCTTAAGAGTGCACCAGCTTCCATGAGCCACTAACAAGTTAGTGAGACAAGAATAACCTATTCTGAAGCCGTGCTGCTTCTCCGAGAGGATCCGGTTTTTATCGAGATACTTAAACAGCTCCTTCCGAATAATTTTTTCTAAGATTTTAACAACCCCACTAGTTAGGCTAACGGGGCGGTAGTTCTCAGGTTTGTGTTTCGTACCTGTTTTGAAGACAGGACTTACTACGGCGTTTTTCCAGTCTTTCGGTAAACGACCCTGCGTAACGGATAGGTTAAGGCATATACTTAAAGGGTTCGCAACGAAGTTAGATAATTCCTTCAGTAGCCTAGGATGTAATTCATCGGGCCCCGTGGATTTACCTATGTCGAGCTTATTTAGCTGACCAAAGACATCGAGTTCTTTAATGGTCATGCTATCCAGTGTATATGTGGGGGAATCTGTATGCACTGACGGGAAGGGTGCTTCTATGTTATATACATTGCTAAAGTAGTTCGAGAACACCTGAGCCTTACCAAAGTCGTCCTCCGCTAATGATGAAGCAGTACTGCCTCCCCATAGAGCAGGAATATTTCCTTTTCTCCTTGTCCTTTGGCTTATATAGGAATACAAGCGTTTAGGACATTCTATGGATTCCTTAACAAGTTTTCCTTCCTACAATTTTCTAGACTTACGGAGGGTCGAGGCACAAGTATTCCGAGCCTTTTGATACTGAGATTTTGACTCATCAGTCCCCAGTAGCCTAAATATATCCCATGTTTTTCTTCTCTTACGGAGAAGGATGCGGACCTCCCTACTGAACCATGGTGGTGAGTTTTTCGGCCCCTTTGGTATAGTCCAAGGGATGTGAGGTGTGGTAACTTATGTATGAATTTCGAAATGCGTCCCAGGCCGTTTCAATGTAGGACTCTGGGTCTATTGTCCAATCTATTAACGATGCTGAGTGCATGATGTCTGGTATGTTTGCTTTCCAGACGTTGGGTCTGGACTGGACTGACGCGTGCTCGTGACTGGCAGTTATATGGAAGTCGAAAGTTAAAACTGCGTGATCACTTTTACCTAGGGGTGGCATATGATGGAGGTTCGCAACATCATCCTCATAGTGAGTCAGTATAAGATCTAATAAGGAT